TTTGGGTTTTGCTTCTGTGAAGATTGACAGCCTTGGAGACCCTGTGGGCAGTTCCACTCTGTCCTCTAGGGGCGCTGTGGGTCAGAATCCACTCCACAGCAGTGGGTTTCATGTCCACCTTTAGCAACAGGCAGAGGCCCCTCCCCCTCAAACCCAAACCCAAACCAAACTCACTGCCGTCATGTCTGAAGCAGATTGTGCAGTCTTCTTTCCGCAGTGGCTGGTGGGCTTGAACCACCAGCCTTCTGGTTAGCAGTCAGATGCCTTAGGCACTGCGCCACCAGCGTGCCTTTCGCTCAGGCTGAGTGGAGCTGAATAACAACACATCCTGCGAGGCGCCCTGACTCCACTTCCCTTCCGGGGCCTCTCTCTTGCTGCTGGGCCCCGCCCCCTTGCCCACACCCAGTGCCATCCTGGGTGCTGGGTGGCACCCCACCTCCCCCCTGCCCTGGAGCGGCTCCTTGAAGCGGTCCTTGTGCAGATTCTCCTTCCGAGAGAGCCCCGCAGACAGACCCCTGCTTCCCCTCCCTCCCGCTCGCACCTGCCCCCCACGCTCCTTATTCCCCTCCCCTGTTCCCACCCTTCCGTCCCCTTCCTCCCTTGGAGCCAGACATGGATGGGAACCGGCCCCTCCCTCGCGGCCAGCTGATGCGTCACGCGTGGGGAGGTGACCCGTCAACCAAGGCCTGCTGCCCGGTGGGGATGGGGTGGTGCCGCAGGTCTCTGGTCCTGGGCGGTGGCTCCTCCGAGCGGGGAGAGGGCTCAGCCCCCCCGACGGTCGTGGGAACCCCACCGCACTGGGCTCTGTGCAGGGGTGGGTCTCCTTTTCCCCAGCCCGCCCTCGTGTCCCAGTTCCTCTGCAGGCCTTGGCTCCGGGACCACGTGCCTTTCGTGGCCTTACCTGTCTGTCCTCTGTCACAGGCGGGGGAGAAGCACTACCACCCTGAGTGTGCGCTGTGCGTCAGGTGTGGCCGCATGTTTGCTGAGAGCGAAGAGATGTACCTCCAAGGTAAGGGGGCCGGGGCCAGGAGCTGGGGCTTGTCGGTTCCGAGACTCTGGTGGGTGCGAGCGGGGCGGCCTGTGTGTCCCTCCAGGGCTCAGAAGGCACCAGCCACGCGGTGGGGAGCTGGCTTGCCCACGCAGATACACCCCCAGGGCCGTGCACAAAAGGACAGGCTGGCTGGCCGCCACCTCGAGAGCCCTTTTGTTGTCTGGGCAGCTGCCTCGATCCCTGGCCTCACCCTGCTCACGGGAGGAGTCTCGGTGAGCAGGTGACCCGCAGGTGGGCGGCAGGAGCGGGTGGTGGTCGGCGACGGTGTTGGTGGTGGATTAACGCACTTGGACCACAGCATCAATCACAAGCATACATACACCTTATCCAAAGCATAGACATTCTTGGGGAGTGGGAATGGGTCTTCCAGCAGGATAGAAAGACCCCGAGCTGTTTAACTCTGTGGGTTTCATATGTCCTCAAAGGGGCGTGAAGGGGTGTTGTTAAGGTGGGGTGAGTCCTTTGAGTGACAGGTTGATTGACTGGTCCCAGAGCCCTGCTGCACTTGCCCAATATGCAAAAGACAGAAAGTGCAAAAAGGCAGTGACGATAACTATATCACGATGATACTATAACCATACGGAACTAGGTCTGAGTCAGAACGTGGGGCCTTAGTGCATGCTCCAAGGTAGGGACTTCCCTTCAACCTCGAGTTTCCTGGGCCATGGTTATTCTCCTTAGTTTGGGTTGCCTAGGCCGTGCGGGCGGTTGTTGGTTTCTGCAGGCGTGAGCTTATTAACTGCTGTAGCCATTCCACCCCCTTCCCTGTTCTCCTCCCTCGGGCCTGCCCCCCACGACAGGCCCTGTTCTGGTTCCCCAGTACCACTCTGACAAGAATACACCACAAATAGGATGACTTAACAAACAGGAGTTTATTCTCTCACAGTTTGGAGGCGTTAAGTCCAAGTTCAAAGTGCAGGCTCAAGGGGCTGGGTGAAAGCCCCTCGACCTTGGGGTCCAGCTCTGCCTCCTGCTCCCGGCCACTGGAGCTGGAGGCATCTCTTCACTCAGCTGCTGGCTGCTGAGACTGACAAACCCAAGGTCAACAAACAAAATGACACAGTCCCGATGTTACCAAACCACACGGCAGGCCATTCATTCAGGTCCATTGTAAGTCCCAAGGTCAGCAGAGCATGGCAGGCTGCTGAGCAACGACACAGCTACATGCAGGGTCCAAGTGTGCCATAGGCTAGAGACCATTCCCAAGGCTTCTCCTTATACACAGGAAGCAGACCACATCCCAAAGGCAGCTACTCAGCTGCTTGTGGTAGCTCCCACCATGGAGGTGATTGCCAGTCTCATCATGGGGAATAACTACCACCAGCTGCCCTGCCCCTCAACCAGGCCCAGCCGAGTTGACATACAACCTGAACCACCACAGTCACCAAGTGTACCTTCCTGCCTAACACTGTGTCCATCCAGACATGTGTCCATCCACAAGGCTGAGATGAGCCCACCTGGCAGAACTGAAGAAGAGCCGGCAGAGCACTGGGAGTCTGGTCCCAGTCCGGAAGCAGATGAGGCACTGGTGGTTCCGTGGGGGGGTTCTCACCTTCCATCCTGGGGTCCCAGGTTCGGTTCCAAGCCAGTGCACCTCCAGTGCGGCTGGCGCCCGTCTGTCAGTGGAGGCTTGCGGCACGTTGCTGTAACACTGAACGGGTTTCTGACCAAGAGGGACCAGCAAGAAAGGCCTGGCAATCTACTTTCAAAAGTCAGCCCATGATGGTTGATGGCCGAGCCACAGGTGATCACAGGGCCTAGGTCATGCCGGCCAAGCCTGAGGCGATCACGGTGCCCGGGTCGCACTGGCTGAGCCGCAGGCGATCACGGGGCCAACACACGACGGGGCGGTGTTCCCTTCCGCTGGCCGCATTCGTTGTCACCTCTGACTTGTCCCCAAAGCCGTGGTCTGTCCTGCAGCGCGGGGTCAGAGGTCTCCTGCGCTGCTGCTGCCGGCGACGGCCCTCCTGTTACAGGCGACAGCGAGAGGTGCGTGGGAGCCCACGGCCCCTGGGGAGGCGTCCTTCCGGATGCAGGGCAGGCCTTCCGCGAGCTGGTGCAGGAGAGCTGGGGAGAACGATCTTCCAACCTCCCGCAGCATTCCATGGTGCTCGGGGGGAAGGTCCCAGATGCAACCACCACTAGACGCAGAGACGTAGGAAGAGAACCATCTGCGTGGGCTTCAGAGGGGCCCGAGCCGAGGGGACTGTGTGGACGTCGCGTTGTCTGTCTCCTCCCGTGGCGCCCGCGGCCCTTGCCGCTCCTTCTGTGGGTCCCGTCCTGGCTGCACTGCCGCCCTCGGCCGCAGCTTACTGCCGTCCAGTGGGTGCCAGTGGGGTGGCCGTCAGTTGTCCTGGAGTCAATCCCGACTCACGGTGACCTCCCATGTGGCAGAGTAGAGCTCCCCCACAGGGTGTTCATCACTCGTCCGTCAGTCTGTCCTACTGTGGGGGCTGCATGTTGCGGTCAGGTGGAGGCTGTGCCCCCGGTGTTTCAGACACCAGCAGGGTCACCCCTGGTGGACAGGTTTCAGCAGACCTTCCAGACTAAGACAGACTCGGGAGAAGGACAGGGCCATCCACTTCTCAAAGGATTGGCCGGGGAAAACCTTATGAATAGCAGGGAAACCTGTCTGATATATTCCTGGAAACTTGATGAATAGCCCTGGGACACTGTCCAATACAGGCCTGGAAGAGGAGCCCTCAGGGCACAGGGAACTGAAAACACCACCGGGGAGGGCTGCCTCCTCAGAGGAGAGCCGACCTGAATGACGCGGGTGGAGTAGAGCTTCCGGGACCTCCAGTGGCTGGTGTGGCACGGCTCAACATGAGAAGAAACAGTTACTAACATCCATGAATAATCAGAACATGGAACGAATGAAGTATGAATCTAAGAAAACCGAAAGTCGTCAAAAACGAAATGGAATGCATAAAGATCAATATCCTAGGCATTAGTGACTTGAAATGGACTGGCCTTGGCCATTTTGAATCAATCATATGCTCCACTATGCCAGGAATGACAAATTGAAGAGGAGTGGCGTGGCATTCATCACCACAAAGACTGTTGTTTCAAGATCTGTCCTGAAGAACAACACTGTCAGTGATAGGATATTATCCAGACACCTACAAAGAAGGCCAGTTAATACTCCTCCTCACTGCTGTTGAGTCTGTCCTGACGCACAGAGACCCCTCCTAGGTTTCCAAGGCGGTATCTCTACGGAAGTAGATTGCCCAACCTTCCTTCCAAGGAGTGCCTGGTGGGTTTGAACCACCAACCTTCTGGTTAGCAGTCAAGTGCCTTAGGCACTACACCACCAGAGCTCCTACTATTATTAAAAGTTATGCACCGACCACCAAAGCCAAAGATGAGAAAATTGAAGAATTTTACCAACTTCTGCAGTCTGAAATTAACCAAACATGCACTCAAGATGTGTTATCACTGGTGATTGCAATGCAAAAGTTGGAAACAAACAAGAATCACCAATAGTTACAAAAAATGGCCTTAGTGATAGAAATTATGCTGGAGATCTCGTGAGGGACTTTTGCAAGACCAATGACTTACTCATTGCAAATACATTTTTTCAACAACATAAACGGTGGCTATTCACGTGGACTTAGCCGGATGGAGTACCCCGGAATCAGACCTACTACATCTCTGGCAAGAGACAATGGAGAAGTTCAATATCTTCAGCCAAAACAAGGCCAGGAGTTGACTGTGAGACAGACCATCAACTGCACATATGCAAGTTCAAGTTGAAGCTGGAGACAATTAAAAGAAGTCCACAACAACCAAAATACGACCTTGAATATATCCATTCTGAATATAGAGACCATCTAAAAAATAGATTTGATGCATTGAACACCAGTGACCAAAAACCAGAGGAATTGTGGGATGACATCAGGAACATCATCCATGAAGAAAGCAAAAGGTTGTTAAAAAGACAGGAAAGGAAGAAAAGACCAAAATGGATGTCAGAAGAGACTCTGACACTTGCTCTTGAGTGGAGAGTAGCTAAAGCAAATGGAGAACCAACAAGATAAAAGAGCTGAACAGAAGATTTCAAAGAGCAGCTTGAGAAGACAAAGTCAATCATTATAATGAAATGTACAAAGACATGGAGTTGGAAAGCCAAAAGGGGAGAACATGCTCAGCATTTCTCAAGCTGAAAGAACTGAAGAGAAAACCCAAGCCTCGAGTTGCAATATTGAAAGATTCTATGGGCAAAGTATTGAATGATGCGGGAAACATCAAAAGAAGATGGAAGGAATACACGGAGTCAATGTACTGAAAAGAATTGGTTGATGCTCATCCATTTCAGGAGGTGGCATATGATCAAGAACCAATGGTATTGAAGGAAGAAGTTAAAGCTGCACTGAAGGAATTGGCAAAGAACAAGGCTCCAGGAATTGAGATGTTTCAACAAATAGATGCCCCCCTGGAGGCACTCACTGGGTTATGCCAAGAGGTTTGGAAGAGAGCTACCTGGCCAACTGACTGGAAGAGATCCATATTTGTACCCATTCCAAAGAAAGGTGATCCCACAGAATGTGAAAATTATCAAACAATATCATTAATATCACATGCAAGTAAAATCTTACTGAAGATAATTAAAGTATGGTTACAGCAGTATATTGACAGAGAACTTCCAGAAATGCAAGCTGGATTCAGAAGACGTGGAACAAGGGGTATCTTTGCTGATGTCAGATGGATCTTGGCTCAAAGCAGAGAATACCAGAAAGATGTTTACTTGTGTTTATTGACTAAGCTAAAGCATTCGATTGTGTGGATTATAACAAATTGTGGATAACATTGAGAAGAATGGGAATTCCAGAACATTGATTGTACTCATGGGGACTAACCCTAACCTGTACATAGATAGACAAGGAGGCTGTCATTTGAACCAAACAAGGGGACACTGCATGGTTTATAATCAGGAAGGGAGTGCGTCAGGGTTGTAT